TGGTTGATTTTTTTTTTTTTTTTTGGAATTTATCATGACAATCAAATATCAAAAAATGGCTTTTTGAAAAAAATTAAGAAAGTATATTCCGTGATATACCAAAAGAAACTTTCTTGTAAACTTTGTAATCCTCAGAGTTAGTGCAGCCTTGGCTTTGCTTTCCTCTTGACATGGATTTTTTTGGGTGGTCTTAGCCGTATGTTTTCAAAATTGGTGGTATTTAAAAAATGACTCCTAAATTGAACACATCTATTTAGGGATTTTTTTATGGGATTAAATTATTTATCGAAGTCTATCCGATTGTCATACTTTTGCTCTTCAATATTTCTCCACCGGAATGATAGAATTGATGTTATTATTACTCTACCTATCTGTTAAGTTGTTCGTCGAAATCTACCCAATTGTCATACTTCTACTCTTCAGGGATTTCTCTATCAGGTAGGTAGAGTTAATGTTATATTCTCTTTACCTATATGTTAAGTTGTTCATCAAAGTCTATCTGATTGGCATACTTTTTTGGGTTGTTTTAACATAGTTTTCTTTGAATTTGCAACTTTAATTTTAATTAAACGACCCAAATCTGCTCTAAATGATCTCAAATTTAAAACAAAGCTTCCAAATACCAGCATAATAATCCCAAATCAACAATTTAGTCAAATAACACCAAATCAAAAAGGCTCACTTTGTCTTCTTCGACACTTTCTAAGGTCCAACAATGGAGTTTTGAAATTTTCACAGTAAATCACCAAATTTTTATGTTTGAACTAAATAATTAAGCATAAATTATAATGTTCAAACGATTTTAATAATAATAATAATAAATAATTAAGTTTTATTTTATGCCACCAAATAAGAATTTTAAGCTTAAAAATTTAAAGAATTGTGGTGTTCAAGTAAAAAAGAGGGACATTCCGCTAAAATCATCAAAAACGGAGACATTCTGCCAAGACCGGTCCCTTTGGGGGACAAGTCGTGCAAATTTTTGTTGATAGATGGCCATGTCCCATATAACGTGGAATGTTCTCCTATCTGTTTGGGCTCCGCTTTACTTTTAGACTTTCTAGTCCAATTTTTCAGCCCAATCTGATTGTCAGTGCTTCCAAAGAATATATTTTGTATGCTTCTTTAACAAAGTTGATTGTTGCCTTGTTTGAAATTGAAAGATAGTAATATTCTTTTCTTACTTTGGGAGGAAGGGAGTGTCGTGCCCCAACCTGGGGAGGCATGGCTGGCACCCAGTGTCGTATTGGTTCGAGCGAACCACTCTGTAACTCATAATCATTCGATGAAAACTGGAATATACATAGGCCGACTTGGATGGACTCATTTTTTCTGTAACTATCATGGGCCAACATGGACAAAACTCGTAATGTATAACTGTAAGTGAGCAAACGTTGTATCAGCGAACCATCGTACTCAAAACATGAATACGTAGGGGCAATCAAGGCCTCTGACATACTATACATAATAAACCTGTATCTACAAGGCCTCTAAGAGTATTTAACATCGAAAGATGGTCAAGACAAGACCCCAGCCTACCTATAAGTTTGTAGCAAAACTTTGACACGATGACTTGTAGACACAGGTGCACTCCAAATGAAGTGGAGCCTTACCGATCATTCACTGAATGCTAACCTCATCTACTATGAGGGCTCGTCAAACTAATTACCTACACCTGCAAGCATGAATTCAGTGTCCACAACTAAAGGACGTCGGTACGAATAGTGTACCGAGTATGCAAGGCAGAACTGAAACATAATAATAAGCCAACATTAATGAGAGAGATATAAAAAATCAACCTGAACCTCTGAAGTGCCATTGAGTTCCATGATATGCATACTAATTATACTTATATATTTAATGCCTCTCATTGAGACTATTATCCATATCATAACATGACTACCCAACTGATCAGCTATAACTGCCCAACCGGCTGTAGCTCGATGGTAAATACGTGTCTTCCGGTGGTAAATAACGATACATAACTGTCCAACCGTTGGTAACTGCCCGACCGGCCGTAACTCGGTGGTAAATGCATAAAGAGCCTTTTAGGATCATTAGGACATCTTTATCGTATGCCTCAATAGGGACTCAGGAACATACTTAGACATGATTTGAATTACATTTCACAGGAATGAAGAACGTAGACATCTTTAACTACTAAGAGTAGGACCATTTATGCAATAACATTATGTTTACTTTTCGTTACCTGGATCATGCCAAAAGAAGTAAGGATTAGCCTTAACATACCTCATAATATCCCGTTCAATCCTCAAGCTTACTTAACCTGCAGCTCATGTGTCTACAAGTAATGAACAATACTAACATCACAATACGAATGTCATAACTTATCGCATTTGAAAAACATACTTTATTCTACAATAAAAAGGACAGCACCTCCCATATTTGTATGACATTCCACAAGTTACAACAATCACCAAACATCCCAAACAACATCAACAATAATCATATTAAGCCTCCCAAATAGTCCAACAACCAATAATAACATACCTACGATTTTCAAAAAATTAGAAAGCACCTATATCACTTCTTTTCAATTCAAACCAACACTAAAAACGATAAGAACAACATAAAAAACAACACACACAAGCTACTACATCAACAACCAGTCGAAACCTAGCTTAAAAGCCTTCCAAAGCAGTCTCATACGCACAACACCTCAAACATACTTTCATCTTCAAGTTTAATATGTTTTTGTTCAACATCTAGGCTTGCTATGGCCTAAAAACAACTCAACCCAAAAATATGGGTGAAGAACATATCTTATAGCACACAAATACCCAATTTTCCGAGCTTACTTCGTTGTTATGCCTTCCCCAATAGAGAGAATGCGGCAAACTATCGACTAGTTCGGGTTCCTAGGGATTAAATCCACTTGTTGCACCTTCTCCACCTTTTATTTGGCTTCCAAATCCCAAGGATATATTTAGGGGGTCTAGAGAGAGTTTTAGGTTTGATTTGGGTCAAAAATGAGGCTTAGAGACTAGGGCCACAACTTTATATAACAAGATAATCCTCAGACGGCTTTGTGGGACCCAAAGGGAGCTGCTTGCACAGTCTCGCAAAAATACGAATATCACTATACTCGGATATTGTATCGACAAACGATTTAATACATTGGAAACTAGACTCGAAGATCTTTAATTTTATGGGTGGATCACCCCTAACTTTAAGTATAGACATTATACCCAAATTTCAGTATAATTTATGAACGTAACTTGTGACGACTTTCGTCGACTTTTGTTTCACAACTCGCTTGACTTCAAAACTTAACACACGACTATCATAAGACTAAAATACCTTATAAAATCACCTTCTTATCATGTTAAGACCCCTAGTCTCACCCTAAAATTACGGGCTATAACATTCCCAATTTGTTGACTTTCGACGATACTTATTTTCTTCGATTTGTTTAGCTTCTAAACCTTCCAACCCTCTTTGTACTTGAAGTTCATGATCTTAAATATTTGTAACCTCCAAGGTAACATGATTAACTTAATTTATGTACTTCCAAAGACGATCTCATTTTTGAGGTTACATGAATTGACTTACGACATACTTTTGCGCACGAAAACATAGGGTGTTACATCATTCCCCCCTTTGAAACATTCGTCCTCGAATGTTGGCTGATGACCTTATCAGTCTCATAACCTACAACTCTTATGAATACTTTAATATTGTCTTTACCATCTAGGCAACTATTCTGTGAATAAATCCAAAGGCCAGGGCATTTTTCCCTTTATGCCTCTTTCTCACACCACAACATGTGGTCGTAATTCTTCCAATCTCGTAACTGTTGCTACCTTCTGTCATGCAGCCTTTATGACTCTATCCCTGTACACACGCCTACGCGACTCCTATATCCCTTTTTATCTAGCTTTTAGCCAATCTTTAGGCCTCACTTTGTGAACATATACAGAACTATGACAAGTTGTCCCTTTGGACATCTAGGTGTACTGAAGTTCTTCACTTGGTACTTTGTCGAACTTACGACTATTACTATATTTTGTTTCATAACCTCGGTTATATA